TCATTTTTTAGTTTCTTGTTTTGTTTTTGAGAATTAGATAGATTTCAAGGACCTATGTGTAGTTTTTCAAAATTTGAGTGTTTTTCAATTTAGACCACATGTCAAATATGTAACTAATAAAAATTATATAAATAATTGTTATATCTTATATATGTTTAATACATATGTTTATAAGGCATTTTTTAATAAAAAAAAAATTATATAAATATTAAATAAACATAGTAGCATGTTTAAATATTTGGGGCTTAATTTTGAGAATTGAATTGTGTATAGGGGCCTCATTGTAAATTTATTTATATTTTAATTTAATTCATAGATCACATTTGTAATTTTATAAAAGGTATATAAAAGTATGATATTTTTATATATCTCTTAAATACTTGAAATAATAAATAAAAATATTAAAAAATAAGATAAAATATTAAAATAGTATTGGACATATTGCACATTATTGACTAACGTATTGCACTTTTGTGTCAATAAAATTGCACTTTAGCATAACAAATGCACTATAATGTTAATTAAATTAATAATATAAAATATTAAAACAATAATTATAAATACTAAATGTATTTTTGTTACGCAAATGATTTGAAAATACTGTATTTTTTATTAAAATACACAAGTAAATTTTATTTTTTTATAGTTGAAACGCAATTTAGTATTCGTTTCAATTTGGTTGGGACGAAAGTTCAATCATTTCACACTTTACAATAGCGCGGCCAAAAATTCGTGCACATTAATGATTGAAACGTTGCACTATTGTGTATGTGATATTGCACTTTAGCGTATGTAACGTTGCACTCTTGTGTCTGTGATTTTAAATTTTGATTATTTCGTTAGAGGTCAACTTTTTTTTTTTCTAAAACAATTGAACCGACCTAGCTAAAACAATTTTCTAAAACAATTTCTGAAAAAATATCGTCACTCTCAGCCACAATCTTATTTTCCCGGCCTTCCCCGGTCATCGAAGCACCGATCCCGTCGGCAGCCACCCGCACGATGAAGCTCCTCCGCCACCGTCAACCTCGCTCCAAGGGCATATCTAATCTCTATCCCGACCACCAGCGCCGCCTCCGCCATCACATTATCATCACTCAGCCGATCTGAATTCGTCTCTAATAAATCTACGCCTCATCGTCGTCGCTGCCGTGATTCGCCTCTCAGGTTTTCATCTCAAATACAGACCCGCCATTGCTGCTTCAATATCATCGCCGAAGACTGTGGCTTTTGAGTTGTTACCTTTTTCGATTTTTCAAGTGAGACGAACTTACAATGGCGGCGAACGGCAGGGCCGACAAATATGGTTTCTGCGTGCGGAGGCGGTGAAGGTAGGTGGAGGAGCGGAGGCGGCGCGACATCGGGCTGGTGAAGGTAGGTGGAAGAGTGAAGTGGTTGTAGTGGCGGGTCACGGCGGAGGCGCGGCGGTTGGTCGGTGAAGATAGGCGGAGACTGAGATGGAAGAGGGAGAGAGAGAGGAGAGAGAAGACGGAAGTTACGAAGGGAGAGAGAGGAGAGGAGAAAGATGAGAGAGGAGAGAGTGATTGTTGGAATAATAATGGTGGGACCCACTAATTTTATTATTATGTCATATTACATTGCTACCCTTATTGATATAATTTTGACCAACATATGACCATTTAATTACAGAATTGCCACCGCGAATTTGACTTTAATTACCAATATTTGACTTCATCTTAACCATTGATATGATGTATCCAATGGTGTAGAATTATTCTTATTTATTTCACTATGATTAATTCTCATATGATCTCTTATCTATCTATATATATATATATTTAAAAAATAAAAAATATTTAAAAAACTTGAAAGCTATATATACGGGAAATGCAAATTTTAATTAGGCAAATGTACATATAATTTATTCCTACTCATTCATTACAAATCCCATTAGACAAACATAGAATGTATCCAAAAAAATATTTGTGTGATTACTTTCTTTAATGTTTTGGTTTAATTTATTTTAAAAAAAATCAAAACACATCTAGACGGGATATTTTGAATTTTTCAAAAAAAATTACTTATTTTAGTAATTCTGAAATTTTAGGCGTGATTTTAGTTACTATTTCAGGTAAATCCAAACTTTTTTATGTTTATATAGATATAGATTTTAAGATAAAAAATTATGAACAATTAAAAGTGCTACAGTCTCGTCACAGAATGATTCTTAAAATATCTCGCGGACTCATTCTGTGTCGGGATTTTGTATTGTGTTTTTACACGTAACACCCTCACGTAGAGTAGTCCCCCGGCGAACTCTGGATAAACACGAAATTGATGATCCAACTTTTGTTTTTCCACAATTATATCAATTAAAAATAATTTCACAAAAATCCAGCTGGTTCAATATATATAGACTTTGCCGTCCCTTCAAATATCTCCATCCCCGAATCCCAAATTGGAACCCTAATCAGCAAATAGCCGTCTTTGGGGACTTTGGTTTGTGACGTCAAAATAGCATTGAAGAATCTATGGAGACAATGCTGTGAAAATCGAATCATAGAGAGAAAAGGTAACCTTTTTCTTGATCCTCCTTTTTATTCCATGGCGGCCCACTTTTTTTTTTTT